GCTTATGGGCTATCTCTTCAGAGGAAATGATACAAACTTCCTTCAACAATTTATCCATTTAAAAGAACAGAAGCTCCTCAATTTACCACTGAGTCATAACCTGAAAAACCCATCATCAGTTGAAAATATTCTAAGTGAAAGATGCATTTAATGCACCTAATCTATCTGACACCCTTGCCTAGTTGGGCAGCCCCCCATAGAGGGTAGTTGTCATCCCCTGTGACTGATTGGGAGTTGCAGCTCTCTATAGCTACCAGTGTTGGAGAGAGGGTTATATTGCATTATCACAAGCCTGGGAAAAGAAACACATTCAAACTTCCAAGCGCAGTTTCTACTGAATGTTTCTCACTTTCACACTAACCCAAAGTTGAGAAATTGGAAGCTCAGCTATCTTGAGGACCATCTGTAATTGTGTTTGTTCTCTCCCCTGACCCTCACATTTCTTGGGCATGTAACAGGCCAGCTGTGACTCCACACATGGCTTCAAATCAATCCCCAATGCCCTCTGCCCTTTCCCAGAGCAAGTCGGCTCTCTCTAAAGAGAGATGGGGCTGTAGATTCATGTAGGAGTCACTGGGAGGAGGAGACCTGGAAATGGATCTGATCTGTGGAGTAAATGCATCTGGAACCTATGGCTAAGCTTCTAAAATCAGCACTAATTTTTGACTTAGGTGTAGTTTGTGCTGGGAGAAAGAATTCCCATCTGTCCAACACCCATTCTGGGCCAGGAACTGTGTGATAAGTCCTTGATTTGTGGTGTTACATGGATTCCATGAAGTGCTTTACTTTTTTCCCACTAACTGGACCCACCTGTGTTAAGTTGACCCCTCCTGTCCTGTGGGCAGGGCAGAGTATTAGAAAGAGGACAGACTAAAGGCATAAGATTACTGTGAGGATCTACTGAACTCTCAGCAAAGTTAATGGAGAGACTATGTGCAGGAGAGAGATGCAGACTGCAGGGGTTGGAGTCTCACAGGCACTCCATGGTTTGAGGATTTCCTCATGTCTATTTTAGCAATATTACCAAGTGCCAAGAGCCACTCACTGTCACTCAGTGAGATGTGACAAAGTCAACGCTGCAGACAGGCCACTGGACCCTTCATGCATCCCCAATCTCCAGAGCAATTATCTAATTTGATACCCAACTTGATTGCCTATGTGCCATCTTTCACCACACTCTGTCTCCTCTCTCTCTTCTTCCTTCTGTGGAAATGCCTCATCCTGGGGGGCACAATGCTGCTCCCACTGACTTCAAAGACAGGAAGTCATTCTGGAATCCTGGCACTCCCAAGGCTGAAAGCTGTACCCACGCTTCTGCAACAGGACAGTAAGGCCACCCCACTCCCATCCCGCAAGAAGGTGTGTTCTTGCCAATGGGCTCTCTGACATTGAAACCCAAGGGTTTTGGAATTCCTGGACTCTGAGTGGCCAAATTCATTCTAACATGGCATGGAATGGCCTGGTGACTGCAGCAGTGTTCACAGTCTGGCTGCCTGAAGGGGAATGTGTGTTCTCAGGTGGAAACAGCTGGCCACTTGACAGAGACTGAGGTGAAAGAGATGCAATGCAGGGCCCAAGTCCCTGCATGGGTCAATGATGCAGATTTCTCACTAACCTTTAAAAAGACCACAAATAGGAGTTCTTGAAGACACCATTTCTGCTTGGCCCATTTCCTGTTAACTCTACTGCCCAGAGGTCAATATATAGGATACTCATTTTCATAGATAGGTCTATGTTTGTACATATCTAAATATGCATGAGTAGTATGAATTTTAATGATCCCTTAATAGCATTAATGGAATCATTTAACTAAGATCTTGGCAATTGACAGGGGGAGGGGAGGAGAGAAACAGTTTAAAGGGCACACATAATGCCACAAGCCAGTTCGCTGACAGGCATGTTGTCCCCAGGTAGGCGATGATGGAGATAAGCATTTGTTTTTCTTCAGTCCCTCCAGTCCCCATGGGGCCAACATAGCAGGCACATTTTTCCACACTGAGTGTGAATCAAGAGTGTGAATGCAAGTTTTTCCCCCAGCAAGGTCTGGGAACATTCCCTATTTTCATTTCTCAGTAATCACCAAAGAAGCCCTTTGGCCCTGGAGGGTAGCTGGCTGCTCTTTCCCAGGTGAACTTACTTTAAAATGTAACCCTATGTAAGATGCACCTCCACTATTCCCAGCAGCAGGCTATTTGCTGGTCTCTGTCAGTTGATATTATCTGTCCCTCTCCCAGGCCACACACATGGTTAAATCAGCCCTCAGAGATACAAAGTACCTTTTTATTCCATCATCACAACTCTCCCTTGAGGCAGGACTTTCTATAAGTTAGGGCATTGGGAATGGGATGGTTGTGGTCTGTTCAAGCTCACAGAGCTGCTTTACCCCACAGCTTCTGGAGGGAACCTTCTGCCTATTGTGTCAGAGCTCCGGTCTGCCCCATGCCTACACAGCAACAAACAGAGTCTGCATGCAAACGATCCTGTTCATTTCATTTGGCAATCATCTGGTTAATTTGATCAACGCAGCCCTAAGTATCTTACTGGGACATTACACACTTACAGCTTTGCCCACCCCTAATATTATTTACTTCTCTCTCCAGCACCAGTGTGACTGCACATGTGCTGCTTGGGAAGCTGCTATCTGTCAAACTGCCCCGCTTTCCCTTGGTGGATAATAAGAATTCAACTTTTATTTGGAGCAAAAGTTCCCAAGGGGTCATATGGCCCCATAACAAAAGATTATGATTTCTTATTGGTTTAATAGCATCTATTTTGTAATTCTGAATGTACTCTGTTTTAATTGGATTTGTTAAAGGAACAAAAGGGAATAGGTGCCTTACAATTAAAATAAAATATTAAGATTATTAGTTTAACAGACTAGAAATGCCTTGTTCATCAACCACATGTTCACAAAAACCAACCTTAGCACAAGCAAAGACCTCAGGATCCCCAGCAGACAGGGAACCTTTAAACCCCAAGAGGTGATTGTTGACTCCATTTTAACCAATAGAAACCATGTTCTTGCCGAGACAGAATTTCATTTCCTTCTCAAAGCCAACTCTCCCTTTGCAGACAAGAAAACTGGAGCTCAGAGAAGCTATATGACAGAAGGGAAGACCTAAATGGGTTGTCCCTGTCTCCCCACTCACTATCTGAGTCAGGCTCCTGAGCCTCACTGTCCAATAGCTTCTACTACTACCAATAAGAAAATAAAAGTGACCACTTGCTAAGTGTTGGGTAAGACCAAATGAGAGAGCTTTGGAGACTTTGGTTGTGACTGTGCAAGAAGTGGGGTGCATAGCATGAACAGGACCAACAGTGGAGTCAGGACCCTAGGATTCTAACTAGGAAGAACCCCATCTGCAACTCAGAGTCCTCCAGCACTGTGACACACCCACCCCCATTGGTGCAGGCTTCATTTTATCCTGGAGGACAGGTGGACACACAGCTCCTTCAATGTGCACAGAGCCCCCACATCTTGTTGCAGGGTGCTCTCCTCACAAGTCCTGTGGTTTGTGCACTGTTTCTGCACCCTGGAATCATGTGATCCTGAAGTGTTGTCAACTTAATCCATTGTTTTCCTACCTATTTTTTTTTTAAATCTAGAACATGAAGAATATTTTTTAAAGGAGAAGTTTCCAGGAGAAAACTCAGGTAGTTACTTGAGCACCAAATATTTGTTGATCACTGAGTATATAACCATCCCTGGATGTGGCACCCTTGGACACAGGAATGCTTTCCAAATAGATGCCTATGATGTCATGGTGAATTGTTCAGCTGTTAGAAAGAGTGTGCTAGAATGGGGCTTCATAGAATCAAAACTGGAACTGTTTTAATTGAGGTAAGAGAAGGAAAAGCAATCAGAGCTAGAAAGGATGAGGATATCAAGGAAAAGGGGTGGGATGAAGCAAGCAGGCAGGGCTGAGAACCTGGGAAGAGATGTGCCCAGGTATTTAGAAAATGTGGGACTGCTTCTAAGAATCTCTCTTCAGAAAATGAAAACAAACATTTCAGTAAAACTATATTTATGGTAGTCTCAAAATAGTAAAAAAAAAATCCAAATATCTAACAATAGATAATTCTTAAATAATTACTGCGTAGTCATAGAGTGGAATAAATATTAAACAGAAGCTAAACCAAAGATGATATTTCCCCAAAATGCAAAATATAAAGATGTTTATGATATAATGTTATGAAAAAAATTAAATATCTGTACGAGCCCAGTGTTCTCATAAGTGTGCATACACCAAAAGATAGATGAGTGGGGGAATAAACATGCAGGGGTTGGGGGTATGAATCAGTGGTGGGGCACTTGCCTAAACTAACATGAACAAAGCCCTGGGCTCCACCCTAAACACACACACACACACACACACACACACACACACACACATACACAAACAATGCTTGCAAATATTAGCACAGATGCTCTCTGAGATTATGATATTGGGTTTGGGTTTTGAGGGGTTACTTTCTTTCATGTCTATGTAGTTTCCCAACTCTCTGCAATGGATATAAAATCTAGTCCTCACCTGAAAAAAAATTTACAAATACACATTCATTCAAACACATGTTCACACCTATACTTAGATGTACAATGCCATTTTCTTTCACAGCATGAATTCTGTGAAGTCACATGATATCTTATTAAAATTAGGTGTGTGTGCATGTAGTGCAACAGAGATTCTAAAATATTAAGCATATTTGGGTCCAATAGGGAAACCTGAGGAAATATTCCCTGGACCAAACCAAGAAGGGACCACATATGTTCAGGGCCTGGGGTCTGGAGGTGGACAAGCATGGGCTCCAATGCTGGCTTCCCACTCCCTCCTAACGTGGCTTTGGGCAAGTCATTGATGTTCTCTGAATCTTAGTCTCCTTAGGTGTGCCATAGTAATGGGAGGATTCCATGGGATTAAAAACTTGGGCCATGGGAAGTTCTCAGTACAGAGGAGCTTTGGTAGAGGTAGAGGGATGGCTGTGGAAGTGAGGGTTCTTACTTGGAACTCTGATTTGCCTTGGACATTGCGGATGAAGGGAAGTCTGAGAGGTGCCCCCACCAACTACAGCCAGGCAGATTAGGAAAAGATGCACCCAGGCTTTCTAGAAAGTATGGAACTTCTTTTAAGGTTCTGTCTTCAGAAAATTAGAACAAAAGTTTCAGTAAAAATGTTTAGGGTAGTCCTGTATAAATAATAAAAAAGAAATAAAGAAAACAATCCAAATATCTAACAATTGACAATTCTTAAATAATTACTTGTAGTCATAGAATTGAATAAATATTAAATGGAAACTTAAAACTGTTGAGTTTTCATGCTGTTGTCTGAGGTACTCTGTGCTATCCTGAGTCATCTGTGATCTGGTTACGTTCGGAACTCTGCTGTCACCGAGTGGCACACAACAAGTGACTCCAAGCTAAAAAAGGAGCAGGTAAGGGCTGGCAGTCTTGAATACCATTCTCATTTCCCTCTGGAGATAGTCTCTCAGAGCTAGCAAGCCCTCCATTACACTGGAAACCCACAGTGAATCAAAAACATGTGGCCTTTCATATGTAGGAGCCCCTCAGTAAGGTGCAATGTGAGCAAGTACACTCATTTAAGCAGCAGCTGAGCTTTCTCCCTGGAACCTCCATACAGGGTGAAGGGCATTGAAAATACTTCATTTTAAAGAGCTGCCTTTCCAAATATTACTCAGCCATAAAAAAAGAATGACTTTATGACATTTGCGGTAAATGGATGGATCTGGAGACTACCATGCTAAGCAAAATAAGCTAATCGCCCAAAACCAAAGGTCAAATGTTCTCTCTGATATGTGGATGCTATCATACAACAAGCTGGGGGTGGGAGGAGAATACAGGTTCATTAGACTAGACAAAGGGGAATGAAGGGAAGGGAGGGGGATGAGAATAGGAAACAGTAGAATGAGGCAGACAGAACTTTCCTATGTTCATATATGAGTATACCACCAGTGTAACTCCACATCATGTTCAACCACAAGAATGGTGTCCTAATTAGAATAAGTTATACTCAATGTATATATAATATGTCAAAAGACACTCCACTGTTATATATATATCTAAAAAGAACAAATTTTAAAAGTCTATGTAATGCACAAAAAATAAAAGAGCTGCTTCCAGGTGCAAAAGGGTAATTTGGAGCTCATTGTTTGTATGGAACACACTTGTCTTTCAGGAATGCTGTAACTTCTAAGTTTTTAATTTCTTCTATGGAAACCTTTCCTATTCAGATCTCCCTTTCCTCCTCAGATCTCTATCAGGCTGATTTGAAATCATTACTGAGTATTCAACACTGTCTTCAGTAAGAGAAACCCCTTTCCTGGTAACTTTCGGCAGATGATACCTGTTGCCAGGAATCATGCTCTTCAAACTCTTGCAGATATAGATAGTTGCCCATCTTAGCCATTTGGTCTGTCCCTTCCCTGACATGTATACAAGTGTTCAGGGGAAGGCCAGGGACGTGGGCAGCAGGGACAGTAAGAGCCTTGAGGCAGGTGGAACTGGGCTCCACTCCATGTTATTGCCAGCCTGGTTTTGATCGCGTAATGTATCTCAGCTCAGTTTCTTGATCTGCAAACGGATCAGTAAATTGCAGGTTTTTGTAGAGAGTAAATGAGGTGATGAACATATGTTAACCGACAGTGTGTGGTGAGTTCTCAACGAATGGCAGCCTGTCTCCAACTGCCTCTGCCTGTATCGTGGTCAGGACTGCTGAGACTCCCCTAGCAGCACCGGTATCTATTACCTCTTTCAAATTAACTGCTCTCAGGCACTCCCTACTGGTCAGTAATCAGATTAGGATTTGGGGAGCAATCCTTGCTAGTTTCCAAATACAAAATCTTTGCAAGTTTTTAAACACAAAGTCATCAATAACAATGTTTCAATAATCAGAGAAAAGAACTATAGCAATAGCAATTTATAGATGCTATTTATATTTTTAATCTCTAGAGCTCACTGCAGTTCAAGCGACTCATTCATTCATTCATTCATTCATACTATTTTTATGTGAATCATCCTACAGATCGTGAAGGGAGACAGTGAAAAAGGCAGATGCTATTGTATTTTTTGTGAAATACCCACTTGAGGAGAAAGCAAATCAAGCAAACACAAAACAAAAACCAAGGAGCATTTCCACTGGTGCAAGTACTCTGGAAATAATAGAAGCCTGTGACAGAGGGTACTGAAATCAGGAATATAGATAGGGTTTGTAGGGTGTGACGAATTTCATCTGTGTTGTTTGGGGAAGCCTTCTGTGAGAAGGTGGCATTCAGGCTGTTACTTGAATTCTAAAGAGAAGCCACATGGGGAGATTTGGGAGAGACAGCCTAGGAAGAGACATCCCAAAGACAAAAACTCTGAGGGAGAGAGGAACCTGGGATCAAAGGAAAAGGAGATGTCAGGGCAGATGGAGCATGGAGGAGAGGAGGGGGGAAGAAGAGGGCAGAGAGCAGGCCAAGGCTGTGTGAGGCTGATCTTTGCTTAGGGGTAAGCACAGGAATGTCTAGAAGGTTTAACTGGCTGCTGCCAAGAACATAGACGAGAGAGGAGGTTAGAACCAGTGAGATAAGGACAACCATGGGCAGCTAGGCACTCTATAAGGTGGTCAGTGGCTGCCTCAGCAACTTCCTTGTCCCCTTGAGATTAAGGCTTAAACCCAGATGGCATGTGAGTCACCCAGCTTCAAGGCCAGTCACAGCTCTGCCCCTCCCTACAGGAGTGACTTTCTTTGTACAGTCTTAACCCTCCTGAGTCGCATTTTGTGGCATAGGAGCCACTATTCTGTACTTGGTTCACCTGACAGTCATACAGTTAATAAATATATTGAGAACCCGCCTTTTGCCAGACCCTTTGCAAAGTAAAACACACTGAAATTGGGTTTCTGCCTCCAGACTGTGTTTGTGGATTATATTGGCCACCCACCCTAAGCTAGGCATGTTATGGACAGTATAAGTGGTTCTTATAGCTGCCTGATATGTTGCTTTTCATGTCTGCTAGACAGACATAGCAACTGAGGCTCAGAGAGTCCAAGTAATTTGTCTGAAGTCATAAAGACTCTAAACAGGGGGCCACTTGCCTTTTTCCCACAACACCTGTCATGGAAATGGGGGCTTGAGTGTGTTCTGCAGTGGCCCATGAAGAAGGGCCACTTCTTCAAGGACTAGCTCAGCACAGGATCTAACCACTTTTTAGGGTTCCAGTATTCCGGATGCCTTGAGAAGTCCCTACCAGACTTCTCAAAAGACAGATGGCTCTCCAAACCCCACTGCAGTTAGCAGCAATCAGGCAAGGTCTGCTGAAGTTACCTAAACAGGCTCAGGTTTCCTGAATGAACGAGCATTCACATTTCAGTTCCTTAGAGACCTTCATTTACACAGTAAATGAAGTTAAGTGCATTTTCAAATAAAGACATCTAGAAAATTTAAAATTACTCAAAAATCTATGCCCAGTATATTTCTAATTAGAGTATACATTAAAATGTATAATTTAAATTAGAAAGAAAATAACAGGAAAATCATGAAGCATAGCAATTCAAACACTGGCCTCTACCTGCTTGTAGGGCAACAAAAATGTTCACAGAGACCCATATTTTGGAAGAAGAATCAAGTGTGACCTCCAATGCCTCACTGACTTGCACTCCTCCTGCCCCAAGCTTGCCCAGGCCCTACTCACCTGAGAACATCCGACTGTGTCCCCTGCTAGCTGTCCTTCCTGGCCAGGGCTCAGGGCAGGCTGCCTTCTCTCCTTAATAATGCATGAGCTGGTGTCTGGGGTTTGTAAATAAAGCACGCCAGGAAAACAGGCATTTCCAAAGTTGCTTACTCAATGGAGGAGAGAGGAAAAAACAAAAAAGCAGAGTTTGAAGTAGCTGTTGTTTGGCAAAGTTAAAGCAAATCAATAAATGCAGGGACACCACCAACAAAAACTTATCTTGTTTGTCCCAGTTCTTACTCCTCTAGGGTAAAACTTTGTCGCCAGGCAACAAGGCAGTTGGACCTGAAGTTAATTAGCATAATCCTGAGGCCAGCCTAGAAAATGAAAGGACACAAGCTGAAAGGGTCTCCAGGACACTCAAACTTCCTGTAAGGAGGTCAGGCAGGGCTGGTTTCTTCCCCACGCAGAGTGAGCCCTGGGCCTCAGGTCCCTGTGATTTCTGAAATTGGCCTCTTCCTCCTGGTTCACACAGCAAGAAGGTTGGAGACGATTAAGGTTTGGGACAAAGAAGAGTTCCATGCCACCTGTCTAAGGTGGACATTAAGGGCAAAGCTGCAAAGGTCCTTTTTAAAGGACAAGTAATAGCACTCAGCTGCAAAACATCACCAGACTTCTTTCTGATTTGACCACATTTTTTTTTTCTTTTTCCTGCTCTTTGATTTTGGAAGGGCTGTCTGTTATATGTTCATTTACTTGAATTTAATTACTTCTCCCAGTTTCTCTTTGCATTTGACTTTTCTTATTGCTTTCAAAGTGCCAATATCATGAATAAAGCTGCAGTGAATACATTTGTGCATTTATGCTCCTTTTTTTCCATCTTTTCCTCTTGGGTTAAATATCCAGTAATTGAGAAAATCAACAAAACAAGTGAACTATCAGTGTTATTATGCAGATAATAAAATCACATTTTAGAAAAGTTAGAAATTGCATATGTAGAATTAGAATCTAAAAAATGCTCTAATTTTCTCCACATGGAGAAGTGTCTGTTTTAGATCAGACATGAACAAGAAAAGAAATAAAATATTTAGAAGATAAATAAAATAAATAATTTTAAATCCAAAATTAATCCAGGCAATAAAACTTTTGGAAAGTACCAAAAATAAAAAAGCAAAATAGAATAACTTTAATTTAGTAATATTAAAAAAAATTAAATAAGAAAGACAACTATAAAAACTTTGTATGAACAACACTATTTTATATTTTTAGTCCCAGAATAAAATAAATGACTTAATTTATACAGTTATTGAATTATCAAATACAGATATCTAGAAAATTAAAAATTAGTCAAAATTCTAAGCCCAGTATATTTCTAATTATAATATACATAAAAATGTATAATTCAAATTAGAAAATAAACAGCATGAAAATCATAAAACTCAAATCAGCAAAATTAAAGTTAATATTTTAAAGGAGAAATAATACATAAGAAGATAAATATGTTGTTAAACAGTTATGTAAGCCCTTATAAAAATTAAAGACACTTGTAATTTTAGCAGCTAGATATAACTTTATGTTATTAAAACACCCTGACTGGTTAATACATCTACAGAATCATGCAAAAACAATTTGGTAAATTTACTAATGCTCATTTTTTGACTGAATATCAACAAATATATGCCAATTACTGTCATTTTCAGGTAGCTGATTTTTAATTCAATCAAAACTAAGATTTTTTTTATGTGTGTTTGTATTGTTTTGCTTGTTTCTTTCTTTATTTTGTGTTTTGTTTTTTTCCCCCTTCTAAGAAAAGAGCTTGGTCTTCAGAGTCAGGGCCCTTGGTCAAATTTCTTGCAGGAACTGTGAGCAGCTCAATGTGTCATTCACAGGAATCTGCTCTGCTGGATCTTTGGGTGGGCATCAATTAATAATTTCCCTGGTCTGTATACAATTTCCTCACCCTCAACTTATTTCCTCATAGTAGATGAAAATAATGGCAATTTCATTAGGTTTCCCCATCCTAGCCCAAACCCACTAGCAGACATGCATTTCCAGTTTCACAAGATGAATGACATTTCTTCTCATTGTGGTTTGTTTTCTGAACACCTCTTAGCTTAGGAATTATGTCCCTCCACCACTCACTAATCCATTCCACCACATCCTCATAACTGTTTTTCAAATAGGTAACAAATGTGGAGAGGAAGAGGGACATGGAGAATTGTCTATTTTAGCTCAGAAGCCCAGGTTTATCTGTGGGCCTTCCTCGGATGTTTTCCAGGTTGGGCTAGACCTAGATTCCTAGTTGCAGAGATAATGGGGAGAAGTAGAAGAGACCCCCAGCATCCCTCCTGGGTCAGGAGGGTACAGCCTCAGACAAGTCCCTTGGTAAAGACCATTTGGTCTGGGAACTAACCTGCTGCCTCTCAAGGCCCACTTATAGGCTGCTGCCAGCTACACTAGGGAAGATGAGAGATTGGGGGATGGGCCTTTGGCTCACTCTTCACTGCCATCCATTCCAGAAGCCTGGCTTCCAGGGACCATGGAAGGTGTTGGTTAGGTGGAGCTGCTCCAAGGAAGCAGTCAAAACACAACCATGAGACCAACCAAGGGCACCAACACTATCGTGCTGAATGTCAGAAAGGCCCCAAGGCCACCTGGCAGCAGTGCTTATTTCTTAAGCACTTCTCAGACATGAAGGTCATAGATATGATCACCAACAAAGCCGAATGGGTCAAAATCATCCCTCAGAATAAGAATTTGAACTGATCTATCTACCGAGAAACCATGAAGTTCTGATTTGGAGATTGTCTTCTCATGTTGGGACACTATCCAGCAGAGGATGAACAGTGATGTCTGGAGATGAGAAGCAGGTAGAGAGGTTGACAGGATGTCCTCTGTGAAACCCAGGCCTGGCACCTCAGGCTAGGCAGAATAACCTCCCTAGTCTCACTGGCTTTCTTTGAGTTCTTTTGTTCTTTTAAACTTGACTCCAAGTTGCCCAAGGGCCCAGATGCTTGTCCTATAACTCAGAACAGACTCCCCAGCAAACCCTGGAAATGCCTTTCACATGGTGCCTACCAGGTTGACAAAGCAGAAGATCTGATTCATAGGTTGCAGTTATTCCAAGATCGCCCAGAAAAGTCTTGGCAGAACTGAGCAGATGTTGACCAGAAACAGGCCCATATTCTTGCCATCACATTCTTCTTTCTCCCAGAGTAGAAAAGAATATCCCTCAATCTTGAACAATCTGCCGGAATATCAACTATTGAGGAAGCTCTGTGCCCGAACCTGTACTAGTCTTTTCTAGACCCACTATCATACTTGTGTGTGGTCAGCATGCTGGAAGGATGAGATTACAGCAGCTCAGAGAGAGTTGGTGTCTTGTCCAAGGTCCACCAGTCAACTGGTAGAGGTTCAATTTGGATCCAGGTTTTCCTAACGCCAAATCCAGAACTCTTTGCTGCGCTGATTCCCTCAAAACTCAGAGGGCCTTAGAAAGCCAAGAGCCCTCTCTGATATCTTGTTTAATCTAAAATTTTAGTACCTGATAATGATGGACAATGCAGTTTACCACCTCTTAAAGAAATATTTTTCATTACTTACCAGATATTTATGATATTCCCATGGACCATTTCAGGAGTTCTTTAGTTTTTCTCAGATTAATATAATTTTTTTTAAAAAAAAAAAAAGAATTTTAAAAAAGTAGGACTCACATTTGGTTAGATGTCTTGGCACCAAGTGGTAAATGGTACCAGAAATGGTGGCTCTTCCTTGTAATCCACAGCCAATGATATGAGAAATGGGATGGGAAATGCCTTTTTATTCCACACAGCATTCCACCTGATGGCCACATCACAAATGACCACAGGTAAAATTCTAGAATCTTTTCTTAAAGGGAGAATAGGCTGTTCTCATTTCCTAGATTCTGACATGTCACCCCCCCACCCCCGCTTTGCAACTAGCACCCTAAATTGGACTATATTATTTCTTCTATTTGTTATTCTGGTTATTGCTTTCCTGGAAAAAGAAAAGGATCAAATAGATGTTTTTTCTGTTGGGGAGGAAGAGGGAAATTCCAGCCCTGAAGTTACTTTCTGATTACGGAAAATCTGCCAAGAACAGAATTGAATGCAGACAGATGGGCAACTCAAGACAGATGATATGATGGTGGAGCTGGAATGGCAAGATGAAGAGCTGTGGTCTTCTGGGGCACTTGGGCATCCAGGCCTGTATAGGCTGGGGCCTGGGTGGGGTCCTGACAGGCCTGGCATGATGCATGGAGTGTGCAGGGGGATGGGGTCTGTGGGAATCTATATGAACTATGGCAGAGAGAATGGAGAGAATAAAGAGGTGTGATTTGATTTGATTTGGTGAAACATACTAAGCAGAGACCCAGTCTTGGGAGTGGAAGGAGTGTCTCATGGAGACAGAAGTAGGGGGAAACAGTTGGAAAAGGAAACAAAGAGCACTGTGGAGGCTGAGGAACTGGATTCTGCAAATCCCTGCTGAATGAAAAGGACATTTCAAGTGGAGAGGGCTCCTTCCCCACGCCCTTCCCAACATTGTACTTTGCTATAATTTTGTACTCTTTCCTTCAGATCAGCCAACAATAATATTTCCTTGGTTCAAATTGTATGCCTTTATTGTAGAAGTATAAATTGGTACGGCCTTTAAGAGAATGATTTGGCATTAAATAGTAAAATTGAAAACCCTCATATTTCTTTATGAGAAATCTGTCTCATGGGTATACTCACAAAAGTGCCAGAAATTTATTTCCAAAGATGGTCATGGAAACATCAGAGAACAATGCCAGCCCCAGGGTGGCAGCTCAGTCAGTTATGATCACGCCATGGTATCCTGTGCAATGGTATCCTGTGGCTATAGAAACAAACTCAATAGAGCAATATGAGCTGATCTCCAGGAGTGTTGTTGAGCAAGTAAGGCAACAAGGAGAATTGTAGGTGTGGTATGATTCCAGGTATGAGCAATTACAAATAAAACAATGCAAGCATATAGGCAGGCATTCGGGTAAAACTTTTCGGGATGTTATACCAGAAACTATTAACTGTGGATACTTCCTTAGGAGAAGCAGTAGTTTGGAGATTCATCTTACATTTCATGGTCTTCCATGGTGTTTGCATTTTTTAAACCACACAGCTATATTATATTCAATGTCCAAAGATGGGGTAGGGGCCAAGGGAGGCTGAGATGTGGCTGTGGGAAATCCAGTGTGGGTTGGGAGGAAGGACCCTGAACCTTCTTCTGCAAGCCCAGAGAGTGTCTTCAAAAGTTAAGGCAGCAGCATGTGCTGGAGTCTTAGGAGAGGGACAGTTACTACAAGAACCTAACCTTCAGTAAGTGGTCTCACTGTCCTAGTGCCCTAGAACTTCCATGTGCTTTGGAAAGCCCCGGGTTTTCCTGAATGCCCTGGCCCCCTGAAGTTGCTGAAAGCCCCCCCCCCCGTTTCCTCATTCATGTGCATGCCTTGGAATATTTGGTGACCACCATAATTTTTTATCCCATAGGAAATACCCCAGCTTCGACAGGACAATGCTGCAGAGGTGGCAGGTATGGTGGCTCCTCTGGAGGGAAATCTTGTGGGAATGCAAATCAGAAAACAACTCAAGCCCCAGTGATAAGAGAGAGAAAATATGCAGATTAATTAAGAAAGGAGCTTGTGTCTTTAATTCACCAAAATGTCCCATATCTTTCTCTGAGAAGAGTTCGGTGATGGAAGGTGATTCTTGAGCATTTGGGGAGTGTGTGTGTGTGTGTGTGTGTGTGTGTGTGTGTGTGTGTGTGTGTGTGTGTGTGTGTGTGTGTGTGTGTGTGTGTGAGAGAGAGAGAGAGAGAGAGAGATGTATACTGTGGGTGCCTCTGTGTGCACACTCCCCTTCCCTGAAGATAAACACATATACACACACTTGGGAGAAGGGTGGTGAACACCAGGGTCACTTCTTCTTGTTCTGGGGAAGACCCACATAGCTCCTGGCCTGGATGGGCTGATCTTCAACCCAGGTTTCTCAGTGAGGAAAGGATCCCACGAGAGCCAGTCCTGGAGATCATGAAGTGATGAGAAAGTAACTGTTGGTCACTGCCATACAAAATGCTCCCCACATTCCCCCAGCTTATTTTTTCTAATGGTATAAGGGTCAGCAGAGAGTCCACCCACAGCATTTGTGTTAATGTTTTAATAAACTTTTGAGAATCACATCTGATAGTTAACGCAAAAGAATGATTTGTCTTTGGGTTAGAATTGCTGAACAGTATTTTCTTTCTCTGGCCAGCATAGTTTCCTGAATGTACTTGCTTCAGTTCATATTGAAATCAGTGTGTGCCATGTTAAGTTGGTGGCTGAAGCACAAGATGTGGAGGAAACTACCCAGGTACCTGCTGCCTGTCCTCACTAATAGAGCCAGGGTCTCCAGCTGAGGCTGAGGGCTAGAGTCTATGGCCTCCAGAGGATATCAGACATATTTGGTTTATCCTTACTTTGTTTCTTCTGGTAGAAAAGGGACATCAGCAATTTTGAGTACCTCATGTATCTCAACACCCTGGCTGGGAGGACCTACAATGACTACATGCAGTATCCGGTATTTCCCTGGGTCCTTGCTGACTACACCTCAGAGGTAAGGCATTCTCATGGATGCTACACAGGTGTTCTGAGGTTTCCTTACTCCAATAACCAGAGTCAGCACACAGAACCTCCACTGGGAGGTTCAGTTACCTGAACTTGGGTATTTGGGCCTAAAACCTAAGTGCTCCTGACACTATGACAGCCTTTGGGCTTTAGCTGGGTTTCTGTCCCAGATTCACTTGTGGAATGATCATTGCCTAACATGAGCCACAGAGGGCCCCTGGCTTATACTCATGGAATAAGGTAAATGCTGCCCATTTACTGAAATACCATCATGTATCAACACTGGCGGCATGCTACAGTTACAGGTGAGATGGTCCATGGAATTTGTTTCCCAAACCAACATTTGGGGGAGAGGGGGAGAGACAAAGACAAGGACCCACTCTGCCCATAACTTGACTTCTATAATTGAGATGATGACATCTGGGATTCACTCAGGATCTGGGATCTGGACTCAGATATGTAGTCATAGGGGAGGCTGATGTCAACACTGGCCACTTATCAATTTGGCCTCCATCTCTGGACCTCAGCAGGCAGAGAAGGGGGAGGAGAAAACTGCATAGCTGGACCAAAGTGACAGATATTTCTGTGCAAGGGCAGCCAGGCCATGGAACAGGGTCCTGACCACCCAGGCTCTGGTCATGGGAGCACCAGGTGTTGGGCTGTGTGTGATGGACAGGAGATGGTGGGCCATTGGTTTAGACCAGCCTGGCCAGCCCTGCCTGGGATTGCTTGATGGTTTAGACCAGCCTGGTCAGTCCTGCCTGGGATGCTTGAATGGCAGAGCTCAGGATTTGAGAGAGGGAGACTCAATCTTCTGTGAGGTCTCATTCCCACTTAAGACATTGAATGCTGCAAAGATATTCTCACAAAACACGTATTACTTTTTATCCTACTGATGTACCATCAGAGGCTAAGATCTTTCAAATAGGAAACTTACAAACCCCAACTTTAATGTACCCATTGCAAGTTGGTGGTTATTTTATAAATCTTTTCTGTTTAACCCATATCCTATATTTAAAAATTTGATGACTTATCAGTGTCTAAAAACTGAGAAATTTGTTCTAAAAATCTGAGTTTCCAGTATGTTTCAAAAAATCAGGAGATCTGGCCACTTTGATCAGTTCTGACCAGCAAAATCAACTGAAGCTGGGCTTGGGTTTCCACATGACTCCTCCATCACTCACTGGGGTTGACGCTGCTTCCCTCTCCCACCCTGGCCTGTCTTTCACAGACATTTGAGATGGTGACATCCCTAATCCTGGTAGAGCTACAGTGACTCACTGCTAGTGAGAAGAGAGGGTTATAAAGAAAAAAGTCCTCCTGAAAAGAAACACAAACTCCCGGAAGAGTCAACATTCTATTAACACAGAGAACATTTCTGCTAAAAGGAAATGTCTCTTAGGACACCTGGCCCTGAAACTGTTCATGGGCAGAGGCAAGCATTACCTGGTTTTGTTGCCCAGAGGGAGTGGGCCTTAGAAAAACGAAAGTGTTCCTCTCATTTCCTCCCCCCAAACAGATGGCTTCTAGCTTCCTATGAAATCAGTTTGATTCTAAGCAGGGACCCTGAACTACTTGAGTAAATTACTCCATGAGGGCAGAAGCCAAATGGCTTATAGACAATAGGAATTCTTTTTGAAAGTCTCTTTTTGGTAATAGGTGGTCATGTTCTGATTTGGGTCAACTTGGAACAGGTTCAGTATGAACTCAATCTTCCCCTCCTCTTATTTCTCATCTCTCCCCTATTAAGTCTTTGTGGATCACTGGCTTCAGGGCTATAAAACCCTAGTTTGCCAGCTAATCACCAGAGGAGGGTCAGACCAGATGACAATAAACCAATAAAGGGAACCATAAAACTAAAGAGCGTGGCTCTTGGGGCACAAGAAGGTTGGGGGAGTTAACTCCAACTGTACATCTGCCTTCTAGGTGTTGAACTTGACAAATCCAAAGACTTTCCGGGATCTTTCAAAACCCATGGGGGCTCAGACCAAGGAAAGAAAGCTGAAATTTATCCAGAGGTTTAAAGAAGTTGAAAAGACTGAAGGTGGGTAAATTCCAGCTTGATTTTTTTGTGCAATTTTGTTTATTTGAATGCCTTGAAATGATGATGACTAGTGTGATTGCCTAGCTTGCAAATTATTGCATTTGAATAGAGAACTCTCTAATCCAGTGGTTAGCACCTTGGCTACATGGAAGAATCACCTGGAAGAGCTTTTAAAAAAAGTCTTCCAGGTGCGGTGGTGCATGCCTATAATCCCAGCAACTTGGGAGGCTGAAGAAGAGGCCAGCCTCTGCAACTTAGTGAGACCCTATGCCAAAAGAAAAAATAAAAAGGGCTGAGGATGCAGCTCCATGGTAGAGCAGCCCTGGGTTCAATTGACAGCAACTAACACACACACACACACACACACACACACACACACACACTACTGAAGTCCAGATCTCACCTCTGAAAATTCTCATTTAAATAATTTTTGTGGTGTCACACAGCCTGGGTGATTCTAATGTACATGCCAAATGGAGCAATATCATGCTAACAGCTAGTAATTCCATACCCAAGAGCAGGCAAAGGTGGAAGAACTAATATCCATTCAGCCCTTTCTCTATGTGAGGTTCATGCCAATGTATGTTCAAGTACACAGTGGTCCATTCCAAAAAGTGGTGAGCTAAACTCAGAGAGTTTAAAACAACAGCCTCAAAATTGCAGTGCTTACATTTGATTGGCTCTTGAACACAGTTCCCAAACTTTGTCCATTTGTACATCACCTTTATAATTTTTGCCACATTTCTAAGTCAACCAGACTTTTATTGCCTGATGTTTTTATTTAAATCTACTCATTTCCTAAACTTAAGGAATGTATTTTTTTAAAAATTCTGTTCTCAAGCACAGGGTAGCCTGCGTGTCTGCTACCTGCACCAACACAAGTCGGGAAGCAGCACTCAGGCATGTCCTTTTATTGCAGGAGACATGACTGTCCAGTGCCACTACTGTACTCACTACTCCTCAGCCATCATCGTCGCTTCCTACCTGGTCCGGATGCCACCCTTCACCCAGGCTTTCTGCTCTCTGCAGGTGAGCTTCTGTCCACTCTCCCTACGCATACATGTGTGCATGTATGCATGCATGCACACATGTGTGCACGCGCACACACACACACAGAGAGCTGTATTATAGGCTTGGACAAGACGGGAACTCCTCTGCTAAAAATTCAGTCTTTAGCCAGTGATTCCCACTTGACATTGGCTCCTGGATTCTGGTCCCTCCAGCCAAGGCAAGCTGTTCTTCATCAGTGATACTTGCACATCTGACCCAACAGAGTCTTGAAAAAAAAAGAAAAGCTAAAAAAAAAAATCAAGAAATAAAAGATATATAAAAAAAAAACCCTTAACATAAATAAGATGTACTAGAAAAGGAAAGCAGGAAGCTTGGAGACGAGAAAAGCAAGCAATCAAAGATTAGAAAAATAAACACAAGAAAGAACAATGAAAAGAATATGACTCAAGTGCTCAGAATGCATAAATCTGTGCTAAGTACAAGCTGAAATGTTCCAAAGAACAAACAAAATATTTGAAAATCAAAACCACCAACTAACCCAGAGAAGGAAACTAACCAACTTACCCACCCATAAACTAACAAACCACAGTGCCAGCTTCAAGTTGCCAGGTATCGCAAATAAAAACACAGGATGTCTTTTTAAATTTGGATTTCACAGAGACTGCTTTTCAGATAACAGTGATTTATATTAAAAAATTATCTGTTGTTTATCTGGAATTTAAATTTAACTGGGCCTCCTGTGTTTTACCTAGTAACTTAAAGGAAGCTGGAGGTAAGCCAGTCTGACTACCAAGTGGGTAGTAGTGTCCAAGACCTATGGGATTTCTAAGGGAGAGTCCCTTATGGGACTTGTGAGGGTGCCAAGAAGCATGGTCTCCTCTCTTCCTTTCGCCTCTCCATCACTGGGATTCTGCATGCTAGGAAGCTGTTACCCGGAGGCACAGCTTGTGAATGTGGGAAACACTCAGCCTGGCTGCAGCAGGAGTACAACACAGGGTCAAGATTTCGGCTGACCTGATCTGGAGCTCACCAAGGTCCCATGGAGAGGAAGGCATGAGCCACACGGGCAGCAGGCCTCTGTTCATACACTGATGACTGACACCTAAGCCACATCTCAGAGAAGCATGAGTGCCCCAGGAACTGCGAATTTAGGTCTACAAATTCTGATTTAAGTCTGACCTCACCAGCAAGATCACTCATTGTAGTCCCTCAGAGGACATTGACTCTGAGAGGTAATAGGCCACCCTGGGTCAGCACTAAAGGTAACTCCTATACTCTGGGAAGGAATGAGTAGGGCAAGGTCAAGGCGTTTTCTCCAACAAAGAGCAAAACCCTGCTGTCTTCTGTTTCTTGGCACAGGCTTCTTTGACGGCGTAGCTCGTCTAGACATTGTATAACCCCCTTTCCCTGGAAATTCGCTCAAAAATAATAAGTGTGCTTCCCCTGAGCCTTTCTCAGGCAACAAGCATTTTAAGTAAGTTTGGTTTGGAGAATGAATGGTCCCAGAGCTGTACCCCATGCCAGGAATCCCATCCAGATGTTGCTCATTAATCCTCAAGAAATGATGATCACTGTTGACGATGATAGTGATGGATTCTGTTACTGCTTTCCATCCAGGGATTTTAAATGTTTCAGTGTGCTGAATGCTTTCAAAGTTTCCCCATGCCCCTTTGGTTGGATGCATCAAAGCCGGAAGTCCCAGCTCTACCTGTTGCTAAGGGTCTTTTCACAAAGGGAGGAGATGGAGTGAAATTGAGACAGTTTTGGATGTGAGATTTATTTCCCAGATCTGCCACTTAATAGATACAAAACCTTCTGCAAGTATTTTACCTCTGTAAATGAGGGTTAATTATGCACATCTCACTGGGCTGTTGAGAAGATTAAATGAGAAATAGTGGGGAAAGCCCCTAGCTCAGGTGATCAATCACTGTGAGTTCCCTTCTTCCCTCTGCAATCAGCCAGATCTAATCTGAGTAGGCCTGAACTTTTTCAAGCTGGTCTCCTCTGGTTTAAGCTAATTTAAGGCAGTCTGGACTTCATCGAAGTATTTCAATGTAGCAAGAGCCAGACTGAACAGGTGCTGTGAACCCAGGAGGACATTTGGGTAATGGCCACTTTCAAGCTAATCACTATTGTGAGTTTATTTTAGTTAGTTTAATCCATTGGTGATGAGGCCAAACTAGTTTGAGAGGATCTAAATCAGTGTGAGATGGTCAGAGCCAACTTCATAAGCTTTTAGATGGTACCAGTGCAGTGGTGTTAGTGTGAGCCCTTTGGAACCCTGTGTTGAAGTCTGATATGACTTGCGGTACTTTTTTGGCTCAAGCCTGACTTTGGCCAACTAGCCCATCCAAGTTGAGATCATCTGGGCTCTCCAGGTGTGCCTCTGGATCTATCTCACCTTACTACCTTTGAAGGACTCTTTTAGTGGGTCATAACTGCTCTAAGCCTTTGGAACCAAAAGAAGAACCAGGCATCTTCTGCTTTTTTCCTTAGAACAAATGACGAGTTTTAGCTCTTTTTAAAGGAATAGGTACACAGACTATGGAAATGTGCCCAAATTTCCTTTGGGAGTCCTGGCTATCAATGGACCTCTTTAGGAATGTTCTAGCATTATTCTGAAGTCAGGCTCTTCCCTCTAGCCCACTCACCTCCTAGGGGGCAGGGCTGTTTCTTCTCAAAACACTTTTGCCTTGCCCCCATGCAGTGACAGGAAAGGGCTTCCCACAGGCTCAGTAGCCTCAAGAGCTGACTGTCAACCTGTGTGTAACATGGACTGGGCAGTGAGGAAACGTGAGAAGGTGGGGAGGCTTTCTGCAGCTACTGGAGACCAGAGCTATTGTACATATGAGTGTCAGCATCAGACAGTGCACCCTTTACCATCCTGCACTAAGCAAATTCTGCCTCTCACCTGCTGGTATCAATCAGCCAGAGTTGAGACATGTGCACTACTGGCTGGGGCTCTGGGCCCAGGGGACTCAGGACCTTCTGAGCTCTGCTTTGCTGTTTGACTTCGAGCAGAGGTCTTTCTCTGGGACTGGTTTCCTTATTTGCAAATAAAGGAAGTGGGTGAGATGCTGCCTCTGAAGGCCCTTTCTTAATAGCATGAGCTGTTAAGAAAGTACTTCCTTAAGTACTTCCTGTGTTCCTGGATGGTGCCAAGTACTCTACATGTACTATTTACATTGTTCCTTACTTTCTTTTTGTGGTTAAATATAGAACATACCATGTACCCTTACGTTTTCAAATGTGGACCTCAGTGGTGCATCACCAACTCTCACCACAATCCATGTCCAGAACGTTTTAATCTGCTTGAGCTAAAACTGTACCCATTAAATACTAACTCTTCAAACATCCCTCTCCTGGCAACCCTTACTCTACTTTCTGTCTATGAATTTGACTATTCTGTCATATAAGTGAAATCATACAGTATTTATTCTTTTGTGACTGGCTTCTTGTGCTTAGCAAATGTCCTCAAGATGGATCCATGTCACAGCATGTGCCAGAATCCCCTAAGCCTGGATAACATTCCATCATGTATGTCTACCACACTTGGTGTATCCGTTTATCTGTCAGTGGACATTTGGGTGGCTTCTCCTTTTTGACTATCATGAAGAATGCCGTCAGGAACATTGTTGTGCCTTCCACATATCATTATCTCAGGAGACCCACATGAGGCTGGGAGGCAGCATTATGATGAGTCTTGATTTCCTCAGTCTCTGGGAGATTGTGTTGCTGGCTGAGTTTCCTCAGGAAATGGCAATGCAGATGTGATAAATTCCAGCCCTGGGGACACTGAGCCTCAAGCAATCATTGTGAAAGCAATATGGGGTCTAGAGAGGTTTCCCAGGGGAGATGTGTTCAGGAGGAAGGGACACACCATTTCCAAGGTTATGTTTAACAGGGCAGAGACCCTCAGATGATGTCACACACAGATACACAGTGTGACAAGCAGGTAATCATCTGGCATGAAGTGTGCCAGCTGCATGTGTGACACCCCTCTACCCCATGTACCCAGTGCAGACTAACATGCAGCATGATGGCTCCAGCCCACTTTTGCTGTTATGTGTTGTACACCCAATGTGGCCTCTGGGCTCCTGACAGGCATGGACTCCTTGGGCACTGTTGCCAGTTTGCAACATGCTGTGCAGAAAGCCATGGACAGCTCCTACACACAGCCCAAGAATGCAGTGCAGTCTATTGGTTCCTGAATGTAAAGGGTGTCTTATTCCCCTTACCTTCAAATCCCATTAAGTTTGGGTTCATCTTAGAATAAATTCATATCCTCTGTCGTTTGTTTTTATGCCCCAAACTTATCATTTCCATGATAGAGTCTTATAATCCAGAATATATGATGCAGTCACTCCAGCTTATCCATGAGGGATTGGTTCCAGGAAACCCACAGATATTAAAATCCATGGATGCTGAAGTCCTTTCTCTAAAATGCATAAAATTTGCATAGAACCTATGCATATTCTCTCATAGAATTTTTTTTTTAGAGAGAGAGAGAGAGAGGAGAGAGAGAGAGAGAGAGAATTTTAATATTTATTTTTCAGTTCTCGGTGGATACAACATCTTTGTTTGTATGTGGTGCTGAGGATCGAACCCGGGCCGCACGCATGCCAGGCGAGCGCGCCACCGCTTGAGCCACATCCCCAGCCCCTCTCATAGAATTTAAATCATCTCTAGAATACTTATGGTACCTAATGCAATATAAGTGGTATAGAAATAGTTGTTTAACTGCACTGTTCAGAGAATAAGGACTAGAAAAATAGTCTGTACATGTCCAGGACAGATGCAATTTTATTTAAAAAAATTTTGATCCATCATTGGTTGAAACTATGAATGGAACTCATGGATATAGGAGGCAAAAAGAATACACATTCATACATATGCTTACAAAGCTTTATATGTTAGCATATGTATACAATATATATATATATATGTATGTATGTATGTATATACACTTTGTGATTTGCACGGGTGGCATATGCAGGCAGTCAGCTGTGTGCTCTGTT